AGCATCCCCCCACCTCACAACAGAGCAACCGAGTTTTGCATTAAGCTGGGAGTGCCGATTCGAGCACCAGCCAAGTGCACCACTTGCATCAGTGAATAGCAGCAAGTTGGGGGACGGCGTCCACTTAGGGTGTAGGAAGAAGGACCGGCCGTTCTACTATTCCAGGAGCTAAGGCCATCAGCGAAGGTATTTGAGGCACTCTTCGGAGAGCTTGATCAGGTAATACGGCTGCCGGTACCAGTTGGCAAGTGACCACAATCTGCAATGTGCGTCCTGGGACTATCACTCTTGTAGCAAACGAGAGCTTTCCCAAAAGATACTCGAGTTGACATTGGGTAGTTGAAGCTGTGTTGAGAGTGGCCCGTAGGAGGTCGTGAAGCTTGGCAAGTTCGTCCATCGGCAGACTGATGTGAGCGCGCGGGTGTCCAGGATGACGCCGATAAACGTCAGGACGTGGGCTGGACCCTCCACTTTTGCTGACGCCAGAGAAACACCGAGGTATGTAAACGCACGGCGCCGAGTAGCGAGTTGCTGGCGAGCTAACACAGGTCCAGAGCATACATCGAGGAAGCACTTTTGCTGACGCCAGAGAAACACCGAGGTATGTAAACGCACGGCGCCGAGTAGCGAGTTGCTGGCGAGCTAACACAAGTCCAGAGCATGCATGGAGACAGAAACGTTAGTCGAGGTATTTCCCGTAATGGGAAGATGCCAATAACGTCAGGAATTGAGCTGGACCCTCCACTTTTGCTGGGGCCAGAGAAACACCGAGGTATGTAAACGCTCGGAGCAGAATAGCGAGTTGCTGGCGAGGTAACACAAGTCCAGAGCATGCATTGAGGAAGTAACATTAATTGAGGTATTCCCCGTAATGCAACAGGCGTGGGAGTGCGAACTGCCCGCACACAATCCATTCACTGGCGGATGCGACAGAGTTCCATATAGCTGGCCTGGAGCGTAGTACAGTCTGAAGGGCAGGACGCTCTCATAACAGTATTGATCCTGCCAGCGGTTCAACAAGGGCCACTCCTCCGGGCAGACGGGAATTCGGCAGAATGCACTTTTAACATTGAGCTTAGCAAGATACAGCGGGGCGAGCAATTGTCTAATCATGTTTGCAGCATTGTCATCTTGACATTGTGGAGAGACACGGTCTGCTGGAATGTAATCGTTGACACTTCGACCCTCCAGGCTTTACAAAGGGTGTGTCGTGTGTAACTTCCCGTTCGTCTAGGAACCGCATCTACGCCGGAACAGCACAGAGGCGAGAAAGGGGGTGAAGAACACGGGCCAGCTGTTTCAAGCCTGCTGCAAGAAACGGATCGGCCAGCTGTTTCAAGCCTGCTGCAAGAAACGGATCGTTGCGCAGAAATATAATCTGGGTTAGCATGTGACCGTGTTAAATTCAATGGATCCCAGTTAGTTGAGTGGTTGCCGATGAAACCTACCACAACCCCTCAATTACGACCATGTGCAACATACCTCCGGAGCATAGGATCAGGATGTGAGTCCAGTAATTTTGAGAAGTGAGAAACTGAGTGCTTACACAGTTACTGATGAGGCCTTACACTTTGCCCTGGGATGCTCCTGTCGGCACTGGAGGTAGCACTGCCTGAGCTGACGCGTGCAAGCGCCGTACTCGTAGTAGCGGCATACGGTTGCGGTACGTGATGCGGGTCTGTACTGGTGAGTAGGACGAAATGCGCACGGAAATGCTGGCGAGTGCACTGAGCTGCACTGCTGGCAGGCGGGTCGTGCTGTTCCAGTACACCGCGAGGCGCAGTTGCCACAAGTTGATATTGATAACCTGGCTTTGGAGATTTATTTTATTTTCCATTGCTATCAGGTTCGGCTTAATTCCCTCTGTGCTGCGCTGATGAGTCCACAAAGGACGAAACAGTTGTCCGCAGATTGAGTATTGATAACGTCCAGTTTCTAGGTGGCAAAAGCTGGCGATTGGCCGCGACGATCGTGGCCAAATACGTCCACAGGCACTCGTGAAACGCGGTGAGGAACAGTGGAACACAGACCATTCATGAACACTGTCCAGGTCTCAACTCAAGTGCTACCGTCATGCAGCCTACGAAGCGCAGTTCTGGGTTCGGATTCAAATAAATGCTAGTGCGCCAGAAGAGCAACATATGTCATGAGGGGCTACGGAGTTGGAACGTCGCCGGAGCTGGACTGACTGCAACTGTATCGGGCAGCAGGAAATCGAAGTCCACGAACTCGCCTCTCTGGACGCGATCGAGAAGGGCCCGTATAGGACAGTCAGGTTCACCTGCTGTTGGTGCTGCATGCGTATATGGCGGTTGTCACTGCACCGGGCTCCCAGTAGGGTCCGGCCTGCTGGCGGCGAGCGGCGATACGGATCCAAGTAGAGCGAGGAGAAGCTGGGTGGCGTTGGTGACGGCAGTGGACAGCTCCCGTTGTTACTTCCAACAGAAAATCAAAGTCCACGAACTCGCCTCTCTGGATACGAATTACGATCGTCAGGCTCGCGCCTGCTGTTGCAGTGGTGGTGCTGCGTGGCGGCCGTCGCTGCGTTCGCAGTAGGCGGGCGGCGGAGCCAGGTAGAGCGAGGCGATCCGGAGAGGCTGGACGCCGGTTGGTGACGACGACATTGTTTCAAGGCACAAACAAGGGTCGCTGAGATCGCGTGGAGGTACTTCATTTCAGGAAACCTGATGATGGCGCAAGCTAAAAAACCACAGTCGACGTTCCACTGTAGACGACGACATTGTTTCAGGCACCAACAGGCACCAACAGGCGTCACTGAAGTCTGAATTGAAACGCAGAGATACGAGAATGCAAGCTTGAAAGTCTAACGAAAGGAAATTGTTTCGGGAACACCTGTTCCGCAAGTTGCACGCTCGAAAGTCCAAACAGCAATGACATGAAAGAGACATTGTACAGGATATTGAAGGGCGCGTGCCCACGTGACTCGCGCATGCGTGCAGGTTGGGCCAGCTCGCTGGGCTGGCTGCTAACTCGCGTTAGCATGCTAACGCTCATGAATATTGAACTTTTTCTTGGCTGAGGTCCTTCAGTAGATGTGTTTCAACAAATTTCTAACCAAAAAGGAATTTTGAAATTTTTTACCCTAAGGGCTGAGTCGCTGGTTGAGGCCCATAACGAAGTGCAAACTCTAACGAGTTAACGAGGAGAAATCTGTCGTTAAAGTAGAAATCGTGATGATATATTATTATTATTATTTATTCTTCTTTTACTAGGGAATTCCCAACAGGCGTCAGCGCCTTTTTACAGGGAACCCTAGGTATAATTTGATGGATGAGCGAAATTCAGCTGGTGAACTAGACATGTGGCAAGCCGGTGGAAGTGTATTCCACCTGGCAGCGCCCAAATAAGAAATTGCACTAAAGCCATATCGGGTGTTAGCGGGGGGCAGAACAAGAGCAGCAGAGACTTGGCCACGGGTGGTGGCTGCAGTGCGAGCACCATGGGCGCGCAAGGTAAAGCGGTCTCGCAGAAGAGGACTAGCAAGTCCATTCAGGCAGCGGTAAACAAATACATAGGTTTTGAAGTTGAGGCGTTTCTCAAGGGAGTACAAGTTAGTATGACTGTATAGAAGAGTGGTGGGAGTCATTCTATCCAACGAAAATATTCTCTTTAATGCTACGCGACTGGCAGTAAGAAGCTTGTCATATAGGGCTTGTGATAAGCAATGAATATATGCAGTGCTGCCAAACTCAAATGTGGACTGAATGATCGATAAATAGAAAAGTCGTTTGCCAAAAATGCTGATATTCTGCTTTGCATGGACAAATGCTCCGACCTTCCCATTGACATTTGCACATACTGCATCCACTTGGGTTGAGAAAGACAGATGTTATGATGATAAATACACTGTCCTATTGAGCGTTGAGAATGAGTGAGAATCATTACCTTTGGTACACGTAAACTAGCCACTTTTGGGAAATCGTTATAATATATGCGTCTCGTTAGAATAATAGCTTTTACAGTATATTTAATAAGTCGACAGCTTTCACAACGGAACGGAAGCGCATCGCTTTTGGATAGACTGTGCTGACACATCGTGTGTTGCACCGCGTTGATGAAGCTGTAAGTGGTTGGCAGAACATTATTGCACTGTCTGCAAGAGGACAAGGAGAACAATAGCTGTCACCCTGGTGCACACCGAAATGTTGGCATGCCAACCAAGGCAGCCAGGCGCATCAAAAATCAAAATTTTCAAATCAAAGTCCTCATCAACTGGAGCTCCAGTCTTTGTCTTCGTCCTGTAGGTCTTATAGATTTTCTTTCCTTTGCGCTTCAAGCTGTCAATCTTCGTCTCGATTTGTGCACCGGTGACCTCAGTCCAGCCTTCAGCTACTCCGGTCTCGTTGACCCGCTTCGCTATCTCTGCGTACTTCTCTTGAGCTGTCAATGTAGAACCTGAAGCACCTACATGTACAAATATCTGGCACACAAGAGGGAATACCGGAATTCAATTTTAAAAATTATTTCGTCATCCATCTCCTCGATTTGTGCTGCATGCAAACGACGTACGTACCTCCACATAGCTCTTCATCACGGCACGCTCCATCTCGTTATTGAACACGGTTTTCGGCATGATGGTTCTTCGACACAAACACTTTCAACCTCACCAGATGTACTACACTCCAACAAACAGCTTTCAAATCACCGCGCCAGACCAACTCTACAGGCAGTAAACCTTTCCCAGTGCTCCTCCGCGAGCTGGGCAACTTTTCCTGGCGGAAACGCGCCAGGAACGTCACGTGAGCACTTTGTCATGACAACTTTCCCAACTGCCGTGTTTTATCCGTGCGTGTGAATGCGCCCTAAGCGTACTGACCGCTTTTTATCTTGCGACATTCGTGGATAGTTGCTTCATAACTTGTTTCCATGTGTTGTCTTCTTCTATTTTACATGGCTCATTATCCGAGTGTCGAAAATGTGATTGAGATTTGCAGAAGTGTTATCATTTTCAATTTTCCTCTTCACTTTTCTGAATGTAGAAAAATAGCACAGAGCAGAATTCAGATGCTTCCACCAAAACTCTTCCATGGCCTTGCAAAACTGGGTTATTTGTAAGTAACGATATAATTAATGTACAAGCCTGTGGTCACGGTCTTGTGGCTCTGGATGTCTTTTGGATGTCCCCATCGATTCTTTTGTCTTTAGGAGCCGGCACAGCTTTGAATGTGTCAGAGTCTGACTGAGAATCTAACAATCTACAGTCAGTTTCAAAAAGACTAGCAATCCTGGCAATCGCCTGGGACGTTTGCCGTCTTACCGTATGAGCTGCCTGGAAAAACTCGCCGTGACCTCGACGAAATATTCCGCGCGAAAGCATGCAAAATCACAACTCACCGGGTACATGTAGGTCTGGTTTACAACAAACGAGTGTTTCCTCGTATCGATATGGACTCAGAGAGGGCATGTTGAATGCTGAAGCGCGGCAAGGGTCCCACTGAATTCGTTTCGTGACCAAACAGTTTCTTTGAGCTGCAATGCAATTTACTCTCACCATGCGACGAAAACGACACGGACACGGACTCATTCTCAAGGTCGTGACTTGGCAAAGCCCACCGGCCGTGTGACTTCGACGACATTTTGAGAAAAGCAGACGCCTGTGAAAGCTGATAGAAGACGGTATTGACTCTTAAATTCAAATAAATTGGCGATCTTGAAATACTAAAATAATTCTCAACAAGAAATCGATCGATCGATGTGTCGTGAATATGCATCACGGATCCGCGTTAAGCGGGATTCACAGAAGCTTTTTTTGCGATGCGACACGCGATGCGACGCGATCTGCGACGGCCGCGTACGATGCGAACTCGCGAAATGCCATTCACAGAAGAAGTCAGTGATGCGACAACATCTTTGCTGATTTGGCTACGTCACCATGATATACGCGCGGTTTGATACAACTTGTACAAATTTATAGGCAACTCTTGAACCTTTGTACAACTTTGTTGTAGAAAAGGTCAAAACCGTACGCCAAATCGCTTGTCGCATCGCATCGCAAAAGTTGAGCCAAGCTCAACTTCTGCTATGGCCTGCGATGGCCCAGTTGCGGCAGTTGCGTGGGGTGCGACAAGGCTGCGATTTGGGGTTTTCCCGGTTTCGCGCCTGTCGCATCGCGTGTCGCATCGCAAAAAAAGCTTCTGTGAATCCCGCTTTACGCTCATTATTATGTCTTTTTTTGTTTATGTGTTACATAATGTTGACTTCATGCTGATGTCTTGCATGCGTGCACCGTTTTGCAGCTCTCAGCCCGGAGCATGCGCAGCGAGCCTGTGGCTCCTTTTTTGCCGCCTTTTCCCTTTTGCATGCTTCACTTGTCTCAAATAAGGTTTTCTCCTTTTCAAGTCACCTAATCCTTTCAAGTAACAAGTGCAATGTCGTTCCGTGAACCGGAACCCCTCCATATTTGAGTTACCAAGACGTATTTGTGCGTGGCTATACAAGCTCTCCCACTCAACATGTTGTAGTTGTTAGTCTACCATTACACTCTTCATCACTGCATCAGCTCAACCGCCACCACTGGACTGCCTTTTTACACTCTTTTATTGACGAATGAACAAGAACACGGAAAACGACTACATCTTGACAAGACGACAGACCAAAGACTAGCTCACACAGTTTCGCGCATGCGCACAACACCACCAACCAATGACGCGTGTCCACAGCGACCAAGACGAAACAAACACGTGACACCAAATCTACCACAATATCCCGACCAAAAAAAACACATACCGTCCTCGGTATGACCAAATAAAACACAATACGCAGAGAGACGCAACCGCAAACAGCAAAAGTAGCCACAGGACCAACGCATGTAGCTCCCCAGAAAAAAAATCAGGGCAACCAAAGCCAGAAGAAAGAAAGAGAGGTGAATGTTAAAGAGAAGAGAAGAAACACTGCATTGCTGTCTAGCCACGCACACACAAAAAAACACAGGCTAAACCTAAGCCTAAAAACCGATGAGCCCTGCCCATCCACACAACGCCAGCCAAACCCATGACTGTCACCGAAAAAACAAAAATAAATAAAATATATACATGGCAACGACAAACAAGCAGCGAGTCTAGCTCCCAGCAATGAACCGGGGCTCACCCTGATCGGACGTTCGTTGCCTTCGATGTGGACTGCCACAAGGAGAACCAACCGTGGTTCACCATGATCAGACGCCAGTTCCCAAGACAAGTAGCAATTCAAACAAACTCCCGTATGCACGCACGCATGCACACACATAAACACTCACCGGAAAACAAAGAAAAGAAGAGAGATATGGAGAGAAGAAAGGCGGCGCATTCCCAGCCAGCACACGACTTCGGAGCAGCAGGAAGCCAACTGCGAAGCTGATACTCCACTCGTCTCAGGACAACGAAACGGCGGACGCACAGCGACACTTGAACACAGCTCAGCGGAGGGCGTCAGCTTGATTGAATTGAGTAGACGACGACGACGGGACGACGACGACGGGACACCGGACGACGACACAGCACGACGACACAGCTCCACGACGAACGTTCGAACACGGACAGGGGTGACGAATAAAGCAGGACAGTCCAGCAGTGACGGGAGCAACACACATCTCAGGGTCGTGAGCTGCGGAGGCAGAACTCCGCGTCGAGAGATAGTTGGGCGCCAAATGTTGTAGTTGTTAGTCTGCCATTACACTCTTCATCACTGCATCAGCTCAACCGCCACCACTGGACTGCCTTTTTACACTCTTTTATTGACGAATGAACAAGAACACGGAAAACGACTACATCTTGACAAGACGACAGACCAAAGACTAGCTCACACAGTTTCGCGCATGCGCACAACACCACCAACCAATGACGCGTGTCCACAGCGACCAAGACGAAACAAACACGTGACACCAAATCTACCACAAACAGTTCAAAGTTGCGCACACGATGTGCCAGTGTATTCAACACGTAACTACAGCGCAATGACTTCTAATCACTCACACCGTTTCTGTGTTGAGTGTATATTCACATGGCGTGAGCCAGTCAAGTGTCAGTCAGTTCGGCAGGAAGCGCGAGCTTTTTTTAATATATTTTTTTAAACTAGAAAACACAGCCCTACTAATAATCAGGGGAAGAGGACAACTGAAATGACACTGGACAACAAGCCAAAGGGGAGTAGGGGCGATGTGCCGATGTGGTTGGCGAGGCTCATCCGACCGGAGGTCTCGGAAAGCTCCAACAACAACAGGTCGTTTGGTGCTTGATCAGTAAAACAGTGAAAAAAAGTTTGATTTGAAGACAGGCTGGGATTTGAACTCACAAAACCATGGTCAGCAGACAGCACTCATAACCACAAGGCCAAAAAGGAAGAGATAAATCGTGGTTTTTCGAAAAAAATCAATACTGGTTTCTAGGGCAAATTGTAAACCATGGGAAAAAGCCAAAACCCTGCAGAAATTCTAATTCCTTTTAACGGCTGGTGTCATGCAGGGTCACACACGCAACGGGAAGACTTCGTGGTAGTAAAATAGATATTTCGCAAACAGCAAAAAGACAACCCTTTCTCTCTTCCTTTCGAAGAGCCGAACTACTTACTCGCCGAGCCTCATCCAAAGCAAACTCTGAAAAAGCCCTACACTACAGTCAGTTTCAAAAAGATTAGCAATCCTGGCGATCGCCCGGGGAGTTTGCCGTCTTACCGTATGCGCGCTCGAGAGCTGGCTGGAAAAACTCACTGTGAACTCGAAGAAATAATCCGCGCGAAAGCATGAAAAATGACAACTCACTCACGTCGGTACATGTACCGGTACGTCTGGTTTACAACAAACGAGTTATTCCTCGTATCGATATGGACAGAGAGGCTCAGGACATGTCGAAAGTGTGGTAAATGTTGACGAGCGGGATGGGTCCCAATTCGTTTCGTGCCCAATTTCTTTGAGCTGCGATGCAATTTACTCTCACGATGTGACGAAAACGACATCGACACAGACTCATTCCCAAGGCCATGACTTGGCAAAGCTATCCGTGTGACTTCGACGACATTTTGAGAAAAGCAGACGCCTGTGAAAGCTGATAGAAGACGGCGTTGACTCCTACATTCAAATAAATTGGCGATCTTGAAATACTAAAATAATTCTCAACGAGAAATCGATCGATGTGCCGTTGTATTCAACAACACGTAGCTACAGCGCAATGACTTCCGTGTTCACTCACACCATTTCAGTGTTGTGGGTGGGTTCACAAGTGTCTTTGTTCGGCAGGAAACGCGAGCTCCAACAACAACAAATCGTTTGGCGCAGCCACCCAGTCCTTCTTTGGCTTGTACTTTTTGTACCAGCGTGACCACCAAAACAATGAAAAAAGTTTGACTTGAAGATAGTTTGGGATTTGAATCACAACTTCATGGTCAGCAGACAGCATTCATAACCACAAGGCCAAAAAGGAAAGGATAAATCGTGGGTTTTGATAAAAAAATCGATACTGACATCCAGGGCAAATTGTAAACCATGGGAAAAGGCCGGAAACCTGGCCGAAATTCTAACTCCTTAACGGCTGGTCCAATTGTTCCGAAACCTTCACAGAACAATTTGCCGTGTCCTAACAAGCCATTCTATGTACTTTGTTGTCCAAATTTCCCTTATCTTCATACTTTTTAAGACCAAAACCTGATTGCTAATCTTTTTGAAATGGACTATAGTACGGGATTCAGCGCAGAGCAAAAATAATTACTTCAAGTATGAGTCATGATACAATGCATGCAGTGTAGCCGTGAAAACTGGTGAATAAAGAATGCAGTAGGTTGGCAGCACGTGACCCGTCGTACCGCAGTACGCGACGGCGTCGCGGCTTAGAAATGAAAGGAAACACTGCGAGAAAAGACTAAACGAAAATACATGTCCCTTTGTCAAAACTTAGAAGAAACAAACAAAATGCGACCAAGAATCATTTTGAGAGTCAACGTCAATACTCTTGTGCCGTTGTGCAAATTCTTGTCTTGCATTGTGCAACGCAAGAAACAAACCACCTACGAAATAACTCGTGAACTAACCGTAGGCTAAATCACTACATGTACGCGAAATTGCGTTCCAAAATAAACTGAACTT